ATATATACTAGTGAAGTTCTTCCCACACCCCAATGAATTGTCTTGCACGTACCCCACTTTGGAGACCACTGTCCTAGAAGACAAGCCAAAAAAAAAGGGGAGGAAAAAATAGAGAGATCAAGACAGACATTTGTTCCCACAAGCTCTTTGGCTGGCAGGGAGAGGAAGGCTGAGGAGTGGGGGGTTCCTCCAGGAAGAGCTCCAGTGTCAACCTCTGCAGTCTCTCTCCTACACCAGGTGTTGGGATGCCAGCTAAGCAGTGATATCAAAAGTCACTTCTTTGGGTTTCTTCCCTGTTTGCCTCATCTGCCTGCCAAGTTCCCATACGGCGTTCATACCTGCTCCTCCCAGGGCTCCATTAGTCTCATACCCACAAAACGTGCCATGGCAGCTGGGAGAGGGTGTCTTCCAGCTATGACTTCATGACATTAAAAGGAGTCCAGTGCTTCTGGGACAACAGGGTTATAAAAAGAAGAGGACACTGAGAAGAGACTTACCTCATCATCCTTCCAGTCTGAGAAATCAATCTTGAAGGAAGGCAGGGAGAATTGCTGGCTTACCCCTCTCTTGTAATGAACTGTTTCCGACTGCAGAGAGGGATTCTTTGTGCTGTATCTGAAGAAAGGGGGGAAAAAGAAAAAACTTGCTGTAACAAATGATTGCTCTCTGTCAGGCTCTCATTCATTCATGCCTGTCCGCTTTTCAGGAATCACAAGTGGCAGCTCTAAGAGGCAGAGCTGGCAGGGGCTGGCAGCCATTCAATGGGGATACAAAAAGGGAAGGGAAAGGTCAAAGCAAGAAGGTGAGCACAGGGAAGGGAAAGCAGCGCAGACGGGCAAGGTCTGATTGGATCCATACTGACCTGCCTGGAAACACTGGGTGTCAGAGGAGGACAGTGGGGTGCGGCAGCCTGGCAAAGGCTAGCTCACTAAATCCAGGGCCTAGGCAACACTGGCTTTCAGCCCAGCACACAGTTCTATTTTCTGCAGGAAACCAAGGAAGAACAAGCAATGATCGTTGTGTGGCAGCACACAACCCAACACGGTGCTGAAAGCTCTCCTGGACAGCTCTGCAGTGAGAAACGTTGCTTGGCTCACCATCATCCTGGTAAGCAAAAGCCATTCTGATTCACTCCTTTATTCCTCATGTGCTTCCCCAGAGGTGTTGCAGGGATACCAACACCACCAGAGAGACACCGAGCAGTCCTCCGTGTGGGCCACCTAGAGAAGAGTCACAATTCTTCCACTGTCTCGAGGCCCCAGCACTGAAACGCCAGCACTGCCAGGCTGCAACGACCATCTCTGGAATGGGACCACAGCTACCATCCACCATCTTCTGCACTCGGAGCCCACCCAGCAGTGTCTGCCCCAAGAGAGACATTTCACTGCCTGCTGACCATCACTACGGATGGTGTGATTCACAGTGGACTTCAGAGGCAAAACAGGATCAGGAAGTTTTCGCCCCTTTCTAGAGGGTTATTTCTGAGCTGGATGTGCACAACCTCTCGCTATGCCAATTCTAGCACAGAAGAGGAGGCAGCGAACTGCAAACCAAGGTGGGAAGATCTGAAGCTGGTTCTACTACCAAAGCCCTTGTTGTCAAGCTACCAACAGTGTGTTCAGAGCATGCTGACAAACCAGAAAGTGAGAGATTCCTTGCCCAGGAGGCTTACACTGCAGAAACAACAACCTCCCATGGCACAGTGACGAAGGAGTCCTAGCTGCAGCTCCACAGGACTTTAACAGTCAGTCACAGTAATGGGATGTTATCTTTTCTGCACACTAACCATCACTTCCTAAGCAGAGCTTCACACAGTGAGACTGGGAGACCGTTGGCCTCCAGCCACTGCCCACTCAACAGCTACAAGCTTGAAGCCTTATTGACTGTTCAAATTTGATTGCCACTGTTCTTGATCGACCAGACAGCCCAGGGACAGGCTCCAGGGGCAAGTATCACATTAGCACCAGAAACTCCAGGCTGAGTTGTTCCTTAATTCAGCTTGGGATATGACATGGGATCTGCTGACAATCAGCTCCTCAGATTTTGTGGATTGCATTTCTCAAAGAATAACATGGGCAGTGCTACTGCCAGCCCTGCGAAGGAGATAACACCAGAGAAGATCAAAGCATTCGACGTGGCAAATTCAGTACAGAGCCCTGTCAAGCAGAGCAGTCAATAGAGTGTGCACAGAGGCAAAGTAAAGAGAATCTTTGCTTGAAAAACAGGATTCTCTACTTCTGAGGACATTCAGCTGTTCTAAAACACAGCCTACAAATCATCAGGTACGTAAGCAAAGGTTGGAAAGCTCCAAGTTCCTTATATCCAACCACACTTTGTAGCGGAGCACAGCACACCAGAAGGGGATGGTGATACAAAGCTTTTCTATGTCCAAGGTAATGCCTTCTAGTTTCTATAAACAAGGAGCAAGAGGGCTGGGCAGCTCACTTCCAGAGGGGGTGAACCAAAAAAAAACATAGGAAAAGCCCAAGGTGCAGAATCAACCAAGAACTGCAGAACTGAGCATCACACCAAAGATGTAAAAACTGAGCTGGAGGATGGCAGAGGTGGCCAGATGATTAGAGAAGACATGCCTGAACCTTAAAACTCAGCTTCAAGCAATGCTGTGGAAATTTTACACTCAAAAGCTATAGGGAGTCTATAAGTCTCCCCACCTGCTGCCAGAGTGTGAGAGCCCCCAGAGGCAGCAGGCTGCCCTCCAGGGCTCAGGCCAGTCAGCACTGTCTAATACAGAGCCTTAAAGCACGATGATGAGGATAGATTTTGCAGCTGAAGGTATAAGAACCTGGATACAAGAAAATGATGAATATTTATTAATTCCTCTCAAACTGAAGGAGGAAAAACCAGGCTCCCCACTGGCGTGAACTGCTGCGTTTCTCTGGAAAACTAGTGTAGTTCCTGCACCTTCTGAGGATCCAGAAAGCTTATCAAGTGTCACAAGATCCACACTAAATTCTAGAAGGCTGTGATGAAGGCCAGGTTCACCACATGCACCCTGTTCTTCCTGCCAAGGCAGGTGCATTATGTCATTTATGACAATACTTTACCCTCAAAGACCATTCTGTACTGCTCTGAAATTGTGCTGCTTTACTAGAAGGTCTCACTCCATCCTTTGCATTTAAAGCATGGTGTGGGAGAGATCAGAATGACAGGTCTTTTATGTGTGAATTACAGAGCGAGCAATTGAGTGAAGTTTTATTTACTGAGTTGTCAAGCACAATGAATAGAGCAAGCCTGTATCTAGCTCTTTTTGTGGTGCTCTCAAAGCTTCCCAGCTCTGCAGAGAGGCACAATTCTCTCTCTACAGCTGGGAAAGCAGGAGCTGGAAGAGTGACTTATCTAAGGTGACAGCAAATCAGGAATCTACTGGAAATAAAGTGCAGAGAAGAGAGTGGAGGTCAGAGGCTGCCTGGATGACATGCATCACAGCAGTGCTGGGAAAGGGGTGTAAACATGCTGACGGTGGGTGCCAGGAAGGCTGGAGGACCTGCACTTACAGCACCAGAAGCCCAAACCAGCCTACAACAGGAAAGCAAGTAATGTTCCAACGACGGGGTAGAACAGTACTTGCATAGACTTGCTGCTCTCACCATCCCACCATCGTGCCAAACTCTTCCACCCCACAAACCCAGCTGTGTATCAGAGACCCAGCAGATGAGAAGCCCTGTGACTACATCGCAGTGATTTTTGAGAGAACAGGAAACAAATTACAGTCATTCCCCAGTCTCACTCCTCCACCATCAGCTGAGAAGCACTTGCTGCCTGCACAGAGAAACTCAGCCTGCGGCACACGCAGGCTTCTCCCTGTACACAGTTCAGACTTGCTACCGGGCACCTGTAGACCTTTAAGTAGCTGCCAAGCCACCAGCAGCATGCTTGTATTCAGGAACCTCTGGCTAAGCAGAGTTAAACTTCTGCTGCTACCCTCTCACTGGAGAGGCAACACGAACGTGCAGGGGTGTTTCTCCCTCTCTGATCCCTGATGAGCACATGGAGAAGTTCTCAGCAAGGCACCAGTCCAGGCAACTGCAGACTTCTTCACTGCTGTGTTCCTCACGCTCAGCTCTACCTGGCACTGGGGCTGCCTCGGACAGTCAAAAGACAGTTCCTGTTTATCACAAGCACGCTGGGACCCCTGATGGAGAAGCACTAAGCGAGTATCCTAGCCAGCTTGCCTCAGAGTTATGCAGAGCACTGTCCAGACCCCATTCCTCAGAGAAAAGCAGGATGCACATAGCAATGTTGCCCCAAGGTATTGTTTTTGACTAGTAAGGGCTGAGAGTCTGTGCTTTGAAGAGCCTGTGGACAAAATAAGAGTCCTCTTTCTTTAGTAACAGCTACGCACGTTCCACAGCAATTTGCAGTGAACCGAGGACAAGACAGAGTTACTGAAGGCAGTGACAGGAGAGCTTCAGAGGGTACTTGGGAACCAACTCTTCCACTGCTGCAGGCTGTGGCTGCCTGGCAGGCTCCGGATCCTCTTACAGGTGATGAAGAAGGAGCCAGTTGCGTTCTGCTGGAGTTCAAAGGGGCCAGGAGTTGATGTGGAGCAAGCACGCTGGCCATGCTCTCCCCCACCCACACACTCCCCTTTCATTTGGGGCCAGGATCTCACAGGTGAGCTTTCGGGGAAGAGGGAAATTAAACGAGTGTCTCAACTCAAAGTGGTTTTTGTTGATGAAAGAAGTACTACCAAAATATAAGGCGGCCGTAGCCCTGGGTCTCAGTCAGTCAGGTGAGATCCAGGCCAGAGAGGCTCCCATATGGAGTCTGGAGGCTAACTGGCCTTCTCCTCCCCTCCTGCTTCCTTCCTGGACCGAGTTTCCACTCCAGCCCAGGAGGAAACAAACACCTTACCAGGCAGCTGAAGCCCTGCTGCCCGTATCCCACTCCAGCCGCTGCAGCGGTCTGCCTTCAGCTGCGGAACTTGCCGGTGAGAGCAGGCGCTCACGACTCCAGCCACGCTTCAAAGCTGGTTGGCAGCTTACACAACAGCTACGCAGAGAGGCACAAAGGCCAGAACTCTAAAGACAGAGGGTTTGTCTGCTTGGTGAAATCTATAGAATTTCGCTCTCCAGCCTGCGAACTTTGCACACTACAGCATTCCTTTGGGGACTGGTGTCCGCCTGGATCAAAGCGGGCTTCGGCTGTGAAGACTTGTGCCTGGCAAAAATCAGCACTCGCCTCTGATTTCTTCAGGCAGAAGACATCTCTCTGCACAAAGAATTCAATTTAATCACCACAGTCCACAGCCAAAAGCAGCAAGAGCACCTTTCAAAGGCCCTGAATAGACAGAGGCTATTAAATGACCAAAGGAATATCCGAGCACCTCTGTCCCTCCGACGCAAGCTTTAGTGAAAACAGCCATGCGCTGCGCTACCCGCTTCAGTTGGATTTCATTTTGTGAACCAACTACTCAAATTTTCACATGCAGACAGAATATATAATCTATTGCAGCGACACGTCCACTGTCAGCTTAAAAGACTGTGGCAGGATGTTTGTGATGAGTGTAGCAGGCGTTGCAAAAACAAACAAGGAAATGGGATTTTTAAAAAAATCAAAAAAAATATCCAGTGCACCCATTTGTGCATCAGCAA